GAGGAAACATCCAAATACGTCATTTCCTGCGATTCTTTCCCTCAAACCAATTCCCGAACGGAAACCCACAAACATAGCAAGCTGGATATGGAGATATGCGTTGAAGATCAAACAGTCAAAACATGTCAATACCAAGGTACAGCAAGCTGCTGAACATCCGAACCACAGAATCATATATTTGAAGCGAATTTGGATATGTTCATCTACCATAATCTACCCAACGGTGGCGGTCAACCAATGAACAGGATGTCATGCCAAACTTGTTCATGGTTGGTGTATCCCCCCTTTATTGAGGATTAAATACCCATCTACTGTACCGCATATTCCGATTCTATAACATATATATATAGAGTTCTGCATGTATATATATATAATTATATGTATATATATAATGATATATATATATATATTGTTGGTTACTGCATCCCCCTCCCTTCGACTTCCCTTGAACATTACCCTGGTCGATAACGGAGGCTAAGAGGTCGAGTAGGTCGAGTGGCGCAGCCAGGCAGGAACATGGCGTTCAGTCACAGGTTTCAGAGGCTACAGTACAACTTCAGTGTCGGCTGCCACAGCAGGCTGCAACTTGAGCCAAGCGAGCAGATGTTTCGACGATGCGCCCCTCCTATGGATCTCCTGAAATTGCAACACATCACCATATCAAGTCTACCATCCTGATATCAGGATCCTATAAGCCAAGGTATAAGGTATAATATGGTATAATGTTTTAAAGCCATACAAGTAGATATGGCGTGCGGTTTTATCACACACTGCCTTTCCATCCATCTTCTAGCACCACAAAATGGATGATTGATATGATTGTATTTGGCGTAAAGACTATTATATACTATTCTATACTACTATATTACTCTATTTCTATATTACTATTACTATAGGTCCTACGGTTTAGCATGCCCTAAACCCACATCTTTTTGAAAGGCCGATGAATGGGGCATCGCCCATTAACAGAAACCCGATGGAACACGTTCAGGATCATGATCCCATATTTTCACCATTATGGCGATTTCAACCACAGTCAGGGTGGGTCCATGGCAGGCTTTCCCACAGTATCATACATTACTCTCTGGTAAACTAACATAGCTATGGAAAATCACTATTTTTTTATGGGAAAATCCACTATAAATGGCCATTTCCAATAGCTATGTTAGTCATTACCAGAGGGTATCAGCAATTCACACAGAAACCACTGCAGATGAGTCCCAATGAGTCCAGATGTCTTTGGTCCAACAAATTTCCAGGTGAAAACCCCCAGCTTGGTGCGACATGGACCACCCAGGCTGCCCCACCCGCGCGAAAGCGCCGTTGCGAGAGCAACTCGGCGAGGGCTGGCTGATCACAGACACCACCGCGCGCCACGTTGATGAGAACCGACTGGAGGTGCGGCTTCAAAACAACGGGTGAACCGTCAGACCCTTGGGGCCGAACCAAGAATTCCCACTTTTTTGTAATTCATGGTTTTGAAATCAAAATGTGCGATGAAAGGTGATAAATCTGCACTCTTCACCCGTAAAAAATTACTTTACTTCGTGTGATCCCCACCATGACATTTATACATTTTCTTACTGGCAAATCTTCTGGCATTCTATCTGACATATCTTCTGACATTCTATTTGACATTCTATCTGGCATATCTTCTGGCATATGATCTGGCATATCTTCTGGCATATCTTCTGGCATTCTATCTGGCATATCTTCTGGCATATATATCTTCTGGCATTCATCTGGCATCTTCTGGCATTCTATCTGACATATCTTCTGGCATTGGCATTCTATCTGGCATATCTTCTGGCCTATGATCTGGCATATCTTCTGGCATATCTTCTGGCATTCTATCTGGCAAATCTTCTGGCATTCTATCTGACATAACATTCTATCTGGCATTCTATCTGGCATATCTTCTGGCATATCTGGCATTCTATCTGGCAAATTTCTGGCATTCTATCTGGCATATCTTCTGGCAATATCTATCTGGCAATATCTATCTGACATATCTTCTGGCAATTCTATCTGGCATTCCTGGCATATCTTTCTGGCATATCTTCTGACATTCTTTCTGACATTCTTTCTAACTTACATCTTTGATATCTTCCTACATGAGGTCCGGCAGGGAACACTTGGCGTGGATACTCGCGGTTGAGGTCCGGCAGGGAACACTGGGCGTGGATGGTCGTGGTTGAGGTCCGGCAGGGAACACTGGGCGGGGATGGTCGTGGTTGAGGTCCGGCAGGGAACACTGGGCGTGGATACTCGCGGTTGAGGTCCGGCAGGGAACACTGGGCGTGATGGTCGTGGTTGAGGTCCGGCAGGGCACACTGGCGTGGATGGTCGTGGTTGAGGTCCGGCAGGGAACACTGGGCGTGGATGGTCGTGGTTGAGGTCCGACAGAGAACACTGTGGATCGCGGGTCGCAGTTGGACGAGGAGGACGACGAGGAGGACGACGAGGAGGACGACGAGGAGGACGACGAGGAGGAGAGGAGAAGAGGAGAGGAGGAGCAGGCCACTGACATAAAATCTAACAACCCTCACCTGGCAGGTGGGGAATTAATAAAGATGAGGGTTTGACCAGCAAAAATGAGGATATGAACCAGTTTGAGCTACAGGTCATCAGCGAAAAAAAGGGGTGGGGACATGGAGAAGTCAAGCAGTTCGGCCACTTAGCGACTACCCCTAAGGCAATCACAAAATTCTGGCATCTAGTCTATAGACTCAAGAGACTTCTTCCCACGTGGATGTCTTTTTGGGCAGCACCTCCTGAGCCCAAATTTTCAAATCTACCCTCTGGTGTCATCAAACAGCTCGAAAATCCACCATTTAGTTGGTTGATTTTCCCAGAAAACTCCATTTGCCTTGGGATTCTTCATTGCAATGGTTCATTAAAAAAAACACATGAAATCCCAACAAATCCCAGTAAATCTCAACAAATCCCATGGAATTCCCTTTAAAGTTGATGGTTAAACCTCCATTTCTCCCACGGGTCAGGTCAGCTCGCCTCGGGCCGGAGCCGCTCCATAAGGGAGCGACCAATGATGCCCTGAGTTTCAGCCTAGGCTCAGAGGATCATCCATATTTTGGATGGATTTCACATGATTTCACTGATTTCACTGTTCTATCTTTTTGATTCTTTTTGGGGTTACCCTTTTGATTCTAGTGGATCAGTGGCCTATAAAAAAATCTGTACCGACGAAAAACCATAGTATGATTGGAGAGGAATTAATGATGATCATTCATAGGATCATCAGTATAGAACATATATTCTTGCATACAGATCGGTATAGATGTGTAAGATTGTGTAAGTATATTGTGGTATGATTAGTATGATTACATACTTCTCTAACATTGATATGATTCTCTACGTATTGGTATACGTAATATGGTATAACCACTTGTGCAACATCACTATTCTGATTCCTCAACTACAACCAGCAAAGATTTTCTGCTGCAATGACTTCCTTCCTCGGAAAATATGTGTTTGAATTGTATTTCTCCAAACTGCTGAAAAGGACACAGCAGTATGTGGGTTAGGTCAATGAATCAACCGTCTTCGTGCCAGAGATGGGTTCTGGGTATCAGTCCAAGAATGCCTCAGCAGTTATGGGGAAAATAATGGGCCCTATAGGCCCTATCGATTGCAACGTTTGGCGTCTGTCCCTGTCGCTGAGAGACATTGAGGGCCACGTGAAGGGACACAATGTCCGACTTGTCAAAGAGTTCCTGCCAGGATCTGGGGCGAGCAGGGTCATGGATCAACCCCAGAATGGATGGTTGAATACTAAAATGAGGAGCCATTTGTGGTTCCGAGGCTACCGCAGTTTTGACTCATAAAACTCATAAAACTATCTATGGATGTTGAATGGTGGTATTTCTGCTGCCTATGATTGATTTAGTCAACAAAAGTGGGAGTGCAACCAAGACAAATGGCCGTGTAACCAACAATCACTTGATTGTGGTTGATTTTGGGTGTTCTTAAAAAGGCGGATGTCAGCGGCAACAATCGGTGTAGTTGCCAGGGAAACGAATACAGCATATGCGTATTCTCACGGTGTTTGGAGCATCCCCCAGTGTAGACACACGCATTAGGTCTTGCAAATGTTGCAGCTGGGTCCCATGTTTTGGGCGTGTTTTTGCACCTTGCTTAGGTGAAGAAATGAACGACTTCCAGATAGTGAAGCCACACAATTATATAGCTACCAAATATAAATATATATATATACGTATATATTATAGAGATATTATAGAGATTGTAATAGACTATATATACACTGTATATTGTATATATACATATATAGTGTAAATATAAATATATATATATATTGTATAATTACATATATACGTACGTATTATAATATATATCATGTGTATGGAGTTTGACCTGCCCGCAAAATGGAGATACTATGACTATGACATACGATGACTTTTTGCTGGCTCTCGTTTATACAATGCAGGGTCTCTGCAAGCCGCAGCAATTCTGCTGGACATTTTGGGGCTTGTGATTTGGACACAAGAAGACAGTGACACACTAAGCCTCCTCAAGTAGCCATATTTTTTAAAAAAATTGCAAAGGCAACAGAATTCAGATGCGAAATGTAGTAAAATACCACAGGGTGGGGCCCCCAAGATAGCTAAGTTGGTTTATAAGTGGTTTTACAATGGTTTATGGTAGATATAACTATAGTTGATGGGGGTTATAATGGTTTATAAACCAACTTATAACTGGGGGGCCCCATCCTGCAGTTTTAATCAAGTTTTATCTAATTGTCATAATCTTCCTGGTGAATTATCCAACACTCCTGGGTATCTTTGAGGATCCTCGCCTCAATGGACACCTGCTTGCCCAAGCTGTCGAAGGCTGGCTTCGGTCTCCGCGACCTTGGAAAAGTCTGGATTTTACATCGGGAAAATTGTGGGATTTCATGGGTATAAACTCATTTTCCATGGAATTTTCGGATGTTCATGGTGATTTCGATGGGACAAACATGGAAGGATGTATCATGGGGTGATTCATCGAACTAGATACAGCCCGTTTTTTCCAGGGCTATGTCGGCTATGTTTACCAAAGGTATCCAAAGCTACTGCATATAGAAACACAGCTTTTGGGCTGGGGGGATATTCAAGTAAAAACCAGCGCATTGGTGAATCGGTGCATGAAGTGAATAGGAAATGCTGCTCGATTTGGGCCACCTGCCCAATTTGGGGTGATAGATATTGACATCTATTGACCGCTAGCCGACTGTTGCCAGAAAACCTGCCCGAATTCAAGCGGGAGATAGAATTGTTTTGTATGTTTTTGTGTTGGAAAGGGAAGAGGTACCTTGCAGTATGATTTTTTTTTGCGCAAGCCCATTCTAAACGTGGCCGGGAGTCAGCGCGTTTCGCGTTCAACGGAAAGCCGGGATGAAACATAACTGGAATCTTTGGCTGGAGGTCAAAAGACCAACCCACACATGTGGGTCATGTTCTATTTTTTATATCATTTACCCTCTGGTTATGACTAACATAGCCATGGTATAGATGGCCCATAGAAATAGATGGTTTACCCTCCCATGGTATACTATATCAATCTATATCAATCTATTTCTGGCTGGTGGTTTCAAAACCCTCTGAAAAATGATGGAGTTCGTCAGTTGGGATGATGACATTCAAATCTGAGCACTGGACCATCCCAAAATCTCTGACGGCCCAAAAGCTTTAAAGAGCTCAGCCGTCCTGCGTCAGCCGTCTTAATGAATCCCAGCCTTCCATCAAAAAAAAATCGGTCAGATACAACCACGCCGTGCTCAAAACTTGGTGATCCATAAAGACCACGTTCCAGCGAGAGTTTTCAAGTTTGAGACATGCGTTAGAAGTTAGAAGTACACGTGCCCCGATCCTGTGAAGAAATTGCAGGGGTCAACCCCGGATTCATAGACCCCTGCACTGTTGCAATGGGGGCCTACCATGTTTAGTCGCAACATATCACTATTTTGAGATAATCCCCTGATTGACCAATCCCCTGACATCCAAGGAAATTGAAGTCAAATCCAATCATGCAATGACATTGTCCTGGCATCGGTATCCCATAAATCTTCAACTATACATAATCATATATGAATATATATATATATGTATATAATCAAATATATGTTTATATACACATATACATGTATATATATATACATAACATCCACTTGTACGGGTCCCAACCCATATCTTCTGACCCACTGAGATTGTCAGCTTCCACGACTCCGTTCACGGATCCTTAAACCAATATCTCCGAGGCCAACGATGCCCACCACCTGGGCCAAGTTTAGGGGATCCCAGAAAAAATTGGATGTGTTGATGGTAAATTCACCTAAAAATTAGAAAAAACTTTGGGATTTGTTATCCGGTCAACGTTGGATTGTGAAACTTTCCGGTTGGATTGTGAAACTTCATTCATTTGTTAATTATCCATAGTGGGGATATATCATGAGATGTATTTTCGGTATTTTGGTTTTGAATATTTATGGATGTTTCGGGTGTGTCCGAAAATGGCAAACCCATCTTTATGGGGATATCCCCAAAAATTTCAGACAAACCTTAACATACATCAGATCCCCAATAGATCGGGAAGGTTGTTCCAGTATGCTCTGACTCCCGCCACATGTCCAACATTGACTATCTATTTTGAGGTTGGCAGAACAACGAAGTAACATCAACAAAACAATATGGAGGCAGTTGTGGAGTGCCATGACTGTTTCACTGTTGAAACAGCCTCAGAACTATCACCGTTTGCAGTCCTCGTTTCTGACCGAACAGTGCGCTGTATTACTTCCGTAGATCCCAACAAGTGCTGCACCGTTTGGTTGCCAAGCCCCAGAAACCCTGAAGAACGGAATCCTGGAAGCCACTTCTGCCGTTGCATTTGCTGGACAGCTGGACGAATTCTTAGCAAAATGGCACTCCAAGGTCGAAGCTGAAGCAAAATGTCAACCGGCATTTTGCGTGAAAGGAAGAAAAAATCCACACAACATGAGTGGAGATTTGATGCGTGGCCATCGCCTGACCATCAAATTCCGCTTGGTGCGTTGAAAAATCTCTGGGTCTGGTGCGTCGTTTGGTTGCCAAGCCCTGGAACCGTTGAAAAGCTGGGTTGATTTGTAGGTGGCTCGAGGAACTCTTCCTGAGAAACCAACAACTATTCAGAAACATCAATCATTTCCCCATTGTGAGTGGAACGACGTGTGCATATTCAATATTGCAGTGTGCAATCATTGAAGACGCCCTAGAAGCTGTCCACTCTGTGGCGGTTCCTGGTTATACATTTTGACCCATCCTCAATTTGGTGTGGGCACTCTGAAATCAAAGATGGACCACCCGCCGGGAGTCTTGGATCATGAGATTTCCGAATTTCTACTTGGCCTTGGAAATAAAATGATGTAAATCTCCTTGAACATTGCCTTTTTTGGGGAAAATAAAATCACTGTTTAATCATCATGTCCCCCAAAAATGCAATGTGTGTGTTGTATACCTCATTTTCAGGCACGCAAAATCACCTTGGTGGTTATTCATATGTATACATACATATATAATATAATACATTATAATACCATTATATGTCCAATCCATCTCCATAAAATGGCTGGTGTTATCCAATTTTTCTTGGCGAAAACCCATGTTCAGACAAACCCACAATGACAAGTGTTGGTTCAATGAATCTCATGAAATATCCACCATGAATCCCCCAAAGAAACACAATCCATTGTTTAATCAGCATTTACCCTTTGATCATCAGAAAACCTGGCTGGAAAATAAAAGCCAGGTTCGATAATTTGGCGAACTAAGCCTCCGAAAAAAAAAGCCATGGCTCATACTCGGTCATTTCCCATTCATCTAAGGAGTTCGATACACGGTATCCACCATAAATGCTAGTTATATCCATAGTTGTCCACCAGAACCCATCAATTGATCAGAGAATTATCATCATCTCCCATTCATATTCCATGGAAATATAGACTATAGAACATTTAGAACCAATATTCTATAAATCAGAGACTTAAACCCATGATAAACCCATTAATTTAATCCAAGATTTATAGTTAATCATTAATTCATCCATCATAAACCCATTAATTAATCATAAACCCATCATAAACCCATGGCTCTTTAGCCATGGCTTCCCTTCCCACCTTGTCCTTGATCTCCATCCCGCCCGAGGAATGTACCCAGCCACCGGAGCGTAAGGTCCTGGGGAAGATCCCGAGGAGAAATGGTGGCGAAAATTCCATAGGAAAATCACGGATTTAGTCATCCAGAAATGTCTGGTGAAAAAGCATATGGGAAAATGGTTGGAAAATGGTGTTTCAAAAAAAATGTGATGTGTAATGTGAAATCCCGGATTGACCTTGTTTTTTTTCATCCCTTATGAACTGCCATTTCTTTAATGGGAACATCATCCGTTGTTTTTTTGTTCATTGCCAGGTTAGGTTGCCGGAGGTTACACACCCCCTTGATTCAACATAGAACTCCAGATTCATGGGTCTGGAAGATGACGTTCCTATCCAACTTGGTGATTTTGGGGTGTAAATCTGAACACCTTTTGATTTTGGGAAGTTGGGATACAACCAGAACTTGTGATGTACCCTCTGGTAATTCAACATAGCTATTGTCTGAAAATGGACCATTTATAGTTGATTTACCCATTAAAGATTGTGATTTTCCATAGCTATATTAGTTTTCCAGAGGGTAATATGAGATTACAGTCTTTGTGCATTGAAACATGTTGGACCAGTGATATCTCCAAACTCTGATGGTCGTTTCTGAAACGGCGTCGACCGTCTAGCCTTCAACTTCGAAAAATCCTCCGGATCGACAATAAATCCCTTGACTTCTAGCCCTTCCCCTACCCCCCCAATAAAAAATGGATCTGTGGAAAATCCACCGTAGTTTGAAAACTTTCATTTCCATCCTGTCTACCTTCCGGTAGTCAACCAGAACAATGGGAAATCCTTGAACTAAATTGGCATTTAAATGAGACAAACAAATCAATTTGTGTAATTAATTATTGTCCTGCACGCAATGTTTGATTACCAGAAGGTAAATGGATTAGAATCCCCATTGTTGACTGTTAAATTCCATTAAATCTCATTAAATCCCATTAGAACCCCTATGAAATCTCCATGAAATCACAATTAAATCCCCAGTAAATCTTGCGCCGGTCTCCTTTCGGATGCTGGGATCTCGCGATACACTGCGAGGGCCAGACCCACCTAGCATCAGGTGAGCTGGGGCGTTCCTACGTTATTTGGGAATACTCCAAAGTTGATAATGTTAATGTATGGTAAACCCAAGTTCAAAAATATTATATATATAATGTATGGGACTGGATATGCTTCATGAAGTGGTAAACCCAAGTTGTCATCCAAGTCAGTGTGAAATGATCTAATTTCGTGGGAAACACACAGAGGAAAATACCAATGGTTTGAGTTCTAATCCAAGGTAGTGTAAACATTCTTGATGGGAAAACAAAGGAAAACCAATGGTTTGGGGCACCCTTATTTTAGGACACAGCCATATAAAGCAGAAAGGACATTGCTGACAATTTTCTACCTACTTGGCAGCCACCAAATGGGATGTCGGGGATGGCTCAAGTTGGCCGGCGTGGCAGAGAGTTCGGCCACAGAATCAGTGGAATAGGCTGGCACCTGGGTTCAGAAGTGCCAGCAACAGCCAGTTTCATCCAGGAGATAGAGTCAGAGACTTGATTCCTGGGTAAATTATAATATTTCACTAACCTGAATTAAGGCCATTTGGGGATGATTCCCCTTATTAACCATGATTCCCAGTGAGGTCGCAGTGAGGTCGTTATAATTTACCCAGACTTGATTGATATGTCTGTTGATATATCTGTTGATATGTATTTCATTGACATAAAACTGAGGTTCTTCATACTCATAATTATTGGCACTGTCTGATTATCATTATTTCTAAATGATAATGATAATCATCTTAACTGTGGATAATTTGATATAATTTGTTCTGGTTGGTGGTTTCAACCCCTCTGAAAAATATGAAAGTCAGTTGGGACTACTATTCCCAATCTATGGAAAGTCATAAAATTCATGTTCCAAACCACCAACCAGTGTTTCTTGATATGTCTCAGTTGAGAAATGGAACCGTCTCCCTGTCTCGGCCACCGGGCATTCACCACTGAGATGCCCCTCTCCTTGCACGCCTCACGTGTCGGACGTGTCGACCCAAGGATCCCACCGGCTGCTGAGTTCCAAAATCCCCCAGGATCAGCGCACCTCAAGATCCACATGGTTGAAACCCGTGAAGGACACAGCCACCAACTTGCAATTGGGATGCCTCGGCCGAGGTCAAGTCGTGAGGAAATTCGCTAAGAATTCCAGGTGGTGCATTACCATGCATTACCTATATCTACCATAAAGTGGTTTCTCTAAAAACCATGGGGAAAACTCCTTTAAAACTCCAAATGGTTTCAGTGGTTTCCCTGTGAACATGGCAATTTTGAGGTGATTTCTCAAGATGTTCATCTCAATGGATTGGTGTTCAGCAAAATTCATCAAAGGAAACCATGGGTTTTTGCCAAAAGTGGCAGCTTTTGACCCACCAACAGACGCCAAACGAAAGCGGTGAGTTGACCGTTGACCCACCAACAGGGGTGCATCCCAGATCCAGTGGTTTATAGCTGTAGATTTGGGGTATATCCCACATATACCCTCTGGTAAATTAACATAGACCCTGAAAATAGCCTAGTTTTTTCATGGAAACTAATCTTCCAACCCCTATCTGCCAGGGTCTATGTTTATCCCACATATAACTGGGTTATAATATGGTTGCTGACTTACCTCTGTGGGATGCAGATCCTGAGCAGTTCAGTTCGACAAAGATGGACAAAGGCACAGGCCTGGCTACAGCTACCCTCTGGTAATGACTAACATTGCTATGGAAACCATGGCCCATTTATATGTATATATATATATAATATATATGTATATAATTATATATACCTGGATCCTCGTAGGGCTGCTAAATTTTTGCCTTCAGAGAAGAATCCTGATTTGTGATTTGGAGTCGATTCCTGCAAATCTGAGTCGTTTCTTGCAATTTCGCCCGTCCATTGAAGGCCTAAAGGGGGACCAACATGTCACACTACTCGTCCATGAATGAGAGAGAACAAAATCATTGATCGATATTAATCCTCAAACCTGAAATGGTTGTTGCACAAAAACAATCGATCGATGCAAACGATAAACTCCTCAAACCTGAAGTGGTTGCTGCACATCCGCTGTGAACCTTTTTTTCACCTCGTTTCTCGGCATCCATGTCCGGGCATTCATGGACTGGTGAAGTTCCAGCCTCAAGGTGCGCTGGGTCACTCGTGTGTCATATTCAGCTGCTGTTCACTCTTGAAAGGATCGCATGAGAATGTCTATCGATCAATGCATGTCTCATGATCAATCTCTGTGACTGACCTGCATGTTGGCTCAAGTATGACCTTCATCATATGCATGCATGCATGCACGCATTTTTTTAACATTGTGGTATATTGTGGTTGTGGCATTTCCTGTGGCCTGTATCGCCATACCTGACCTTGCCATGCCTTCCGTGAAAACCGAGCCGGCTGCTCCTCTTCATGTGTCTGGGGTTCCAGCTGCCAAAGCTTCGACTGGGAGGCGCAAGATCACTGACTTTCGCCTGGCAGAGAAGTTGGAAGACTGCCGCTTTATCAGGGATCTTCTCCGACATACGGGGCGCCTGATTCAATGGGCAAATGAAGATGTGGTCAATGTCATTACATTGGAAGCTTTGGGGCTGAACTATCGTCTCATGGTCATGGTGGCCGATTTTCACTGCTCCCAGACCAATGTGGTCAAACCCCCGGGCATCAATTTCTTGAAAGCTCAGGCTTGAATCCAACACCAATGGAGTTCGTGAATTTTTTGGGGCGTGTTAAGAACTCATGCATGCATGTTTATAACTGTTCTTGTCATGTGTTCAACAACCAACGCTTCCTTGAAGGTGTGGAAACTTCGATCTATGCTCAGCATGCCCGTGCACCCTGTTGCCATACACCATGATTCATGGGCAGTGAAGAATTTTTTTTCCCATGCTCTTCGTCGAGCCGGTGTTGAGCGGATGGATTCTGGAGACAGCCCGTCCCGAAGAGCTGCTCAATCAACCATAGTTGAGTTTCCCATCAAGCGTTCACGACTTATACCATTTACAAGGTACGTTTTGAATTTAGGTCGATCCTTATTTATTGGTGGTCTCATTCTCATCTGTTGCTCTAAGGCTGCTGGTGTCACGGAATTCTTCGACGCCATGATGAATCACTGGGAGAAGCCACTCAAAGAGCTCTCTGCCCAAAGGATGCGAAGAAGGTCAGAAGGCCACACCGAAGTGATCGAGATTCCAGATGATGATTGCAAAAGCGTTTCCATGGATGAGCTTGAAAAGCAGTCCTTGCAGAAAGCGCAAGAAGGCATCATCATTGTTGATGGTGATGATTTGTTTTGGCGGATGATGGATACGCTAACCCCGAGGAAATTGCCAATGGCGAGGTTCCCGAAGCCATGCCCAAGCCCGAGGAGAAACCCAACACCATGACCGAGAAGAAAGCCACGATCGAGGAGAAACCTGAGGAAAAGCCCATGAGGAGCCGAAGTCTGCTGATGCTGACAACCGTGGAAAGGATCAGTCTGTCGATGCGGAGGATGCTGATGCGAATGCTTTGGCCGCGAAGCGTCGAGAGGAGTTGATCAAGCAACTTGTTTTGCTTTCCATGGAAATTGATTTTCAAAATTTGTATAATGCATGGTTTGAAAACAGATCCTGTTGCTCTTTCAATATATTGTTCGGCGACCCGTATCCCTTTGGTTATGCTATAGCACTGTTGCTTTTCAGTGTCTATCAACGACCCGTCACTTGAGGCAAATCCTTGACAAAAAGAACGAGCTGGAGAAGCAAGCAAGAATGGACGAAGTGAAGAACACTGAGAAAAAGAATGATGTCAAGGACAAGTCAGAGAAGGACCCTCCTGCTGATGTTGTGCAAACAGTTCCATACGATGTGGATGCTGCCCTCTATGAGCAGTACATGGACAATCCGGAGTCGCAATGGCGAATGGAAGAGGCAGCCAAGACACAGGAAGACGAGGAGACTAGTGAGGAGATCAACGAGAAGACGCAGCTTCTTCGAGCTAAGACTTTGAAGCTTGGTGATGAGCAAGCAGCTGCAGCCAAAGAGGGGTCTGACGAAGAGGAGCCTGCCGAAGAGAAAGGAAGAGCTTCTGTGAAGCCATTGGAGAAGGGCAAAGGTGGTGTCGTACCTCGAGCGAAGCAAAAGATGGAAAAAAAAGAAGCATCAGCAGGTGATGAGGTGCTCGCTGATGACACTGCTGGGGAGCCAGCCCCGACTGAGAATCCCTTCGGTCTGGAGAAGAAGAAAGATCAACCAGTTGACTTGCAGCTGGTGGACATTGATAGTGACGATGATGAGCTGCGCGATTCTGCTGTGCCCCTGAGTCTCTTGCAAACCATGCATGCGCAGGGACTGTCGTTGAAGGGTGCGATTGCGAGCCTTCGCAACGCAATGGTAAATGCGCCGATTGTCAAAAGGATTGAGCAGTACAAAATCAAGAAGGTGAAGGTGCAGAAGGCGAAGCCAAAGACTGAGGAGGAAGCTGGGTCAGATCAATCAGATGAGGAGGAGATGCGCGAGCCAGAAGATTCGACGAAGCCGAGGCCGAGGCCGAAGGCGAAGGGAAAATCGAAGAGCAAGGGGAAGGGCAGGGGAAGGGGAAAGGCGGCTAAGGCGAAGGCCAAGCCCTACGCCAAGAGAAAGGCACAAAAGAAGGTTGAGGAGCATGAGATCAGCGATGAATCTGACGAAGAGGACGAGGACGAGGTGGAGATCTCTAGCATGCATGCGAAGAAAAGGGCTGAGGTGAAGCTGCGCGAGGCAAAGAATGCCAAGACCAAAAATTCCGAACCCAGTTCGGATTCTGAGCTTCCCTTGCCCAAGGACAGCAAGGTGGAAAAGGTGACGAAGAAGAAGACTACTGAGGAAGCTCCGGCGAAGAAGAAGAAGAAGACTGAGGAGAAGATGACTGAGGAAGCTCCGGCGAAGAAGAAGAAGAAGACTGAGGAGAAGATGACTGAGGAAGCTCCGGCGAAGAAGAAGAAGACTGAGGAGCAGATGACTGAGGAAGCTCCGGCGAAGAAGAAGAAGACTGAGGCTGAGGCAGTCCCGGACAAGAAGAAGAAGAGGACTGATGAAGCCCCGGAAAAGGGTGAGCCCAAAACTTTTGCCCGCCGTCCATGCCCAAAGACTTCCCCGGCCAGTGACCGTTGGATTGCAATCTCCCAGACTTTCAAGAAGCATGTGGCGCCCAAAATCGTGGCCTTGGGATTGTACACGTACTCGTACGAGGACAGGGGAGCCACCAAAATTTCCAATTGCCATCTAGCGTTAAGTTTAGATCCAAATAATCGAGATGCGGTTTGGGAATTGGTTTCTTTCCATGTTCCCATCAAGGAGCCTTTCCTGCATATGGCAACGGCGGCCCTCGAGGGCTATGACCCGTCCGACTACGCCAAAGTAGTCTGTGGGAAAGTGGTTGATTTCATGGAAACGCTTCAGGATGTGGAGTAGATAGCTAGCTGACGCAGCGCTTGGGATGGACTCTGCGGCTTCAATCAGTGCTCCCGACTGAAAGCTAACATTATTTCTATTTCATTCACTGCCCATGAAATTTTTGATTCATGTGAAGCTGCGGGTCCCGCAGCGTGTGAAACCATGCTGCCAATTCTTGGGAACTTAGTGTGCACAATGCACACATTTTGAACATTTTGGGGGCCATGTGTGTACTGCTCGTGCCTCGATCCATCAAACATTGTGCAGGCATCGTGCCGCGAAAAAGCACGAGCTCGTGCATCATACTTCATGCATGAGTTAATTAATCCTATCCCCTTATTCTTAAACACCCCCTAAACTAAACGGTCCCAATTATATGGAAATCCTCGAGGCCATGGTTTCTGGAGAAGTGTTCAATATTAGGGGGAGAGATTATATCGATCGAGATCAGTTGAGTCAGTTTCGCGTTCCATTAGCTCGGTTTCTGTCCCCACCTGGCCCATGTCCTCACCCCGGCCTCTCGGTCGAATCGTTTGCATGGCAGGAAATGTATGGACTTCGAAGAGGCCAAATAGGCCTGGCAAAGTTTGGCGTTGGTGCCAGATACGAGCAGCCTCAACGTTGACCTGGCTAGTTTTTTCAGTGAATTCGTACCATGTCCAGCTGATTCATCACAAGCCCACTGGTACTAACTTGGCCGTTGGATC